AAGCGGAACTTAATTGTTCCTCTACTAGATCGGCGAAACACATACATTCATACGAATACTTGTCAGCTTATCGTACTACAATATCTGTCCAAATGCATGAGCAGTTATTATGAGTTTTAAAAAATGGAAGAAAAGCCCATCATTCGGGGTTTTATTTTAATCTCTAAATTTCGATTTAGAGTCCATGTTAGTTTATAACCTTTTTGCAATTACTTTTTGCTCGGACCTCATTTCCTATTGGTTTTATTTGTCATTTTAATTATCGCGCGCCAATTTTGTTTATTTAGGTAATTATTTACTTTTATTTTCTACCTTTATACGTTCAGCTTTTTAAATTATTTTTTCTTTCCTATGATATAACCCAACCATAATACCCCTAGTAACAACGCTTCTGTAAGATGCAATGATGGGGCTAGCGATACCTAAGTACCTCGGTATAGGATAATGCTTCCCCTCAGTCGTTTCTGAATTTGCTGCCTTATTCTAACTTTGTCTATCTAACTGAACCGATGCATAGGTCGACCTCCAGTTCTACAGCAATCGCACCAGCCTAGACCTCTCCAACTACGTCACAAGCGGAGGCTGGGATATTGTGGACTGTCCAGCCGACCTGGATGTGCAGCCCGTACTCAGTGAGGAACGCCAGGAAGGGGAGGTGGAGTTTGGGGGTGAAGTACGCTACGGCACCATCAGCAACCGGCCCAGAGTCAGGCAGATGACCTTTCACATCGTCCTCCGACGCAAACCCCTCTTTTACACCACCAACATGATCATTCCATGCGTGCTTATTGCTCTACTGAGTACTTGCGTCTTCTATCTGCCAACAGACGCAGGCGAAAAGATCACGCTCTCAATCAGCATCCTTGTGACTTTGGTGGTTTTCATGCTCCTGGTCAGTAAAATGCTGCCACCTGGGCCCAAAACAATCCCTCTACTATCACAATTTCTGCTTTTCACCTTTGCAATGAATTTTCTTACACTTTTTATCACCGTCGTCATCATTGATCTTAATCACCGGAACCCGAAGACACATTCCATACCAGCCTGGATGAGAACACTGTTTATACACCTGATGCCGCGATTCCTGGGCCTTAAAAGGTGAGTTAATTAAGGTTTGTTCAGTAAATCACGTGATATTTCATTATGCTCGATGTCTCATTAAATTGCTCCCCACGGTTACAGACAACTTATAGGTCTGCTACTTACAACAAGAGGACAGGTGCATGGATTATCTTTCTTGAAAACCAAAACGTGCACAACAAGCTATTTGCAGATATGGTCTCGCTTAATTGTTTTTTGTGTGATTGTACTTCTCTTTAACCGAGAATACGTCAGCTCCTGGTGGAGGCTAAATCAACAACACGGCCGTGCATGAAAATGTCATCCACAGCGCATTTAGAAGTTCGACTCTACGAAGATACTGTATCTCTTGAAAATACGCATACAAGGGAGCAAACTTCCTCTTCGAAAGCGACGGGGTCCTCCATTGCCCAGAAAAGTGGGCTTTATGGTGGTTCACGTTTGAATTATTCTATAATGAAGCAGTCTTTTGTCACATCGATCTTGTTCGCTTGACGTGCCCTCAGGCGGCGAAGCAAAGTTAAGAGGTCCAGACATAAAGCTGGAATCTTATACAGGTATAACGAACACAGTAGTCCTTAAATCTACAAGTCTAGGCTTCCATTGGGAGTCTCTGAGCGCATCTTGTTGCGAGCACCTTAAATGCAACATTTAAAAAGAATCATTATAGTCGGACCCTCAGTTCTGACCGAAATATAGTGAGCTCCTCGGTTGACAACCTTCTAAGCACGGCTGTTAGTTAATAACGATAATTGCAAAGCATATTTTATTGTACTTAATAAAGAATTTCGAGGTTGATTGATCTCAATCTACTCTGCCACTCCCACACATAGCTGGCCTGTTTTAATCACGTCTACTTCAGACAGGACTGAGCATTGTGCGCTACGTGACTTGGCCAATATTAGACCTGCACACACGTGCGACTGTGGTGGTTTTGAGATCGGCGCCACTATCGCTGACTCAACTTTTCCTTCGGCTGGCAAACCTCGTGATAATTTTGGCCTTTTGCGGCCCGTCCGTCACACGCTCTTGCCGACTGACCGCGGGAGCCACTTGTATTGTCCTCTTGCCTGTCTCTCGGTCGGGTCGACGTCCCCGCCCACAGGCCTCATCGCAACGCTGCATCCATCCTTCCTCCTCCCCCCATCCCTCGCAACTGCACTATGTCTGTGTAACCTCCGTGAACACACACTGCCTGGTGCACTAATCCCACCACTACTTTGTTTAATCCGCCGGAGGACGGCTGGGTGTCGCGAAGTTTGTTGTTAACTCAGACACTAACCTAAGCATATTTGAAAAGTTTATTTGGTAAACATTTATTTTCAGTATTTCACCATCAGGCCAGTACAAGTGCAGGGATAATGAAAATCGTACAGTTGGACAGGATTACGATGATTACAACTCATCGTTTTCCGCGCCGCCCGCATAGCGAGATCGACGTGTAGAGGTCCTTGCGCTGGTAGGGGGGAGGAAAGGAAATTGGGATAGGTTGTGAGTATTGGTTATAGGTCAGGTATGTAGAATGATAATTACTGTCACTTTCACGGGGTGAACAACTGTCACTAGGGTGTGGGTGCGACCTGTTTTCAAGGTAAACATAGGAATATTTACAAAACTTGTGCACATTTCTTAAACTGCATTCATACATAAAATCCAGTTTTAGCTAAGCAGAATTCCTTCAGCCAATATTTCTGTACAGTTAGTATGTTTTTTAGGATTAATGGGGAATGTTGTCGGCGACAAATTCTCAAAGATTAAAACTAGAGTTTTTTTAACGCACAACAGATAATGTAGAAACAAATCAGTTTTCTGAGAAGACGTCATAGTAATAGTTTCGTGTGACTGCAGGAGATGACTAAGTTTCAAAAAACAGAAAAGCCAATTGACATACAATGAGAAATGCAAAAGCCATGGCAAAATTCGAGATCATGTTGTGCTTTCTCCAGGTCACTGTTCAGCGAGGAAGTAGGAAAAACGAGAGCTATTTTCTTTATAAATCATCGTTTTGCTCTGCTTAAGGCCACAATAGACTTAAAATGATATTTGCTATTTTGCGACACTTTACAAGACCAAAACGGGCGTCAATTGCCCGTGAAGAAGCTTTCAGTGAACTTGACCGGGTCTTACTGCCGGAAGTGGACGACTATTCAGAAGATGAGAACCCCAGCTTCAGCGGACGATGTGCGGATGAAAGCAGATTCACAGAAAACAACCCTCAGTTTGGGCCACGCGTGAAGGACGTGGAACATACAGGCACCCGCTGTAGCGCCTGTGGGACTCGTGCTTACGCATTGCCCCCGCAAATCCAATCAAGTTCTGACGACGTACGCCGGGATTCCTGGCTTAATGGCCAGCAGCAGAGCATGGCGACTACGCAAAATGATGTAAGATTTGGTGATTTTAGAACACGAACATTGGCATATGGCGAATACTAATCGTTTCGGTACATTGTAGATCAATGTTCACATTAACAAATTCACAAGAAGAATTTATATACATATACATGTCTTTGATATGTCTAGAATTATTTAAGGGAAACTGGAGCTAGTTGCCCTCGCATGAAGTTCGGCTCTTTCTATATTACCTCTTTAACTGACCTTACTGTCTCTCGTTTAATCGTCCACCCAGATCAAATATGAGCAGGTACTTTTATTAGTCTGACTGTAAGTTGGCTAAGGCGTTTACGTCCGCCAATGCGTTTTTTTAGTACAGATGTTAGTGAAAGTTGTCGTTTTTCTCCTCACAGGGTAAAATGGCTAATGAGGACCTCGTATGTGCAAAATGCAGATCTACAGTACATGTTTTGGCTTATTCAAATTGTCAAAGTTTAAGAACGACTGCTAATCCCTCGCAAACTAGCACAAACAACTGGGCCAAAGCTTTGAACGAATAATGAGTGACTTTAAAGGAATTTAGAATATTAAAGAAATACTAAAAATAATATTACGTTATTTAGAAATACAAACTTTTTTCAAAATCGGAAAATTCTGAAAAAGTCAAAAATCGTTGTAACTGAGTAAGATGGAGATGTACAGGAAGCTTGTCCATACAACAATAAATGACCATGAATAAAGAAATCGGTAAAACTAGAATACTGTTTGCAATTAGACCTTTGGTGAAGTTTGCACTTAACCATCCTTCAGGAATACGCACAATGTTGAGTATGGCTAATAAAAAACAGTCTACT